CCGGCGGCGGCCTGGGCACCGCGCTCTGGACGGCGACCCGGGCCGAGGAAAGTTGCAGCCCAGGCCAACCGGACGCGGATGGCGGCCGGGGCCTCGGAACGCTTCCCGCAGCTCCGGCCGCCACGGCGAGCAAGCGGCGCGGGAGCGGGAACTTTCCCGGGCATGGCTGCCTGATTTGGGCGGGCGAGGACCGCGGCCCCAGAAGGGAGCGCGGACCCCAGACAGCAGAGTCCCTTCTGGTGACAGTTGCGCCCCGGGGCAGTGGGGGACCCAGAACGATGCTCCCAGGGTCTAGGGAGGGGGTTACAGGCGCGCCCGGGTCTGGGGTGGGGGTGACAAGTGCTTCCTGGGTCTGGAGTGGGGTGATAGGCGCCCCCCGAATCTGGGGTGGGGTGACAGGCTGCGTCCCGGGTCTGGGATATGGGTTACAGGCGCGCCCCGGGTCTGGGGTGGGGGTGACAGATGCGTCCCGGGTCTGGGGGGTGACAGGTGCGCCCTGGCTCTGGGGTAGGGTGACAGGCGCGCCCCGGGTCTGGGGAGAGGGGGACAGGCGCGCCCCGGGTGTGGGAGGGGGGACAAGCGCGCCCCGGGTCTGGGGAGGGGGTGACAGGCGCGCCCCGGATCTGGAGAGGGGGAGACAGGCGCGCCCCGGAGCAGGGGGGACCCGACTCAGCGCGCCCCGGGTCTGGGGAGGGGGTGACAGGCGCGCCCTGGGTCTGGGGAGGAGGGGACAGGCACGCCCGGGTCTGGGGGGGGGTGACAGGCGCGCCCCGGGTCTAGGGAGGGGGTGACAAGCGCGCCCCGGGTCTGGGGAGGGGGGACAGGTGCGCCCCGGGTCTGGGGAGGGGGGAACAAGCGCGCCCCGGGTCTGGGGATGGGGGGACAGGCGCGCCCCGGAGCAGGGGGGACCCGACTCAGCGCACCCCGGGTCTGGGGAGGGAGTGACAGGCGCGCCCGGGGTCTGGGGTGGGGTGACAAGCGCGCCCGGGGCAGGACCGGCGACCCCAGCCCGAGCCGGGTGCGGGGACGATACCTGTGCGGGGAGTAGCGGGAGGTGGTGCGCGGCGGCGTGCTCGGGCGCGGAGGGCAGCGGCAGCAGCGGCAGCA